GAGAATCGCAATGCGATTTTCATTTCGCATTGCGATTCTCTCGTTGCGATTGTAATTTCCGTGTTGCGATAGTCAAATGCATGCCTAATAGTGATAACAACTGAATAACAAGAGTTGGTTAAGTCAAAATGGTTGGCCTGAGTCATTAATTCAACTGAAAATGTTAAAAGTTCACACATAAAATCCACATAATACAACGTTGCATTTAAAAATCACCTAAGTTAACAGTCCCAAAAGGTGAAGCCAATTGTGATTGGGATTTTAAAGATGGTTGCCTTTTGCTTGACACCATATGAGCTTTGGATTTTGATGAGGATCCATATTTTGGTAGAGGAAAAGATGATTTTGATGGCACTGGTGATCCACATGTCAACCTTGTATGACCACTTTCCTTGCACCGACTACATGTCGATCTCTTCTTCTCTTCACCCTTAGACGGTATACGATCGTGACTTTTTGGTCGGCCAGGTAGCCTTCTGTCCATGGCTGGTGGCAAAACTGTTTGTAAGTCATCTGGTATGTCCCACTCAGAAGGATGTGGAATAGGGTAGACAATCTCGGCATAAGTCTGTCGATAAACTTCTGTAGTGTAGCAATCCATAGCGTATGCGCTTGAATCATCTTGGTTTAAATGAAGAGCAACTTTTATAACATGGCCACACGGATAACCAGATGTTTGCCATTTCATACAACTACACGTCTTTGCATTTAGATCGACTAGCCCATTTAATTTATTATCCAGTACTTGAAACAAAGTGTTTGAACATGGTTCAACTCTCCATGACGTTGACTTCACAACACGTTTCGTTATCTTTTTTTCAGTCCATGGTGTAACACGATGTTCCAATGTTCCTGTAAATTTAAATAAACAATACTTAGTAAAATATATAAATATGATAAGTTACGAATTCAAAGAAATAATACCTGCATGGTTTCTTTTCTTGTAGTACCACTGTTGAATAGAGGCTCGAAAAAACTCCATTAACATAGTAATGGGTAATTTCCGGGAATGACGACTTAGAGCGTTGATTGATTCTGCACTATTAGACGTCATGAAACCATATCTTGCTCCAAGTTGATGTACTCTTGACCATCTTTCAAACCCGACATCTTCTAGTGTTTGAGCACACTGAGGCAAAACACGTCTTAAACAATTTATATGCTTATTGAAATCCACTTCCCGATAAGCTTTTACAGCCTTCCAGTATGTCCATTTGTGCTTTTTATACCAGCAGACCTTGATTTTAGATTTCTATACAAATGAACACCACAAAGTCCATGAAAAGCATCTGGGAAACACCTTCTAACAGCGTTGTCAATTGAGTTTGCCCTATCGGATATGATTGTCAGATTGCTAATAGGACCTATGCAATCCCTAAGATGCCCCATAAACCATGTCCATGAATCAGAGGTTTCAGATTTGCCAACCCCGTAAGCTATTGGCAATATCCCATTGTTAGCATCCATGGCTACTGCTAATAAGTTTACTCCAAGGTATCGACCTTTCAAATGTGCTCCGTCAACTATAATAACTGGGCGCATGCAAGTAATAAACGAACGAATCTACAAATAATATACACAAGAAATATAATCATTTAAATGTGAAATGCATGTAACTAACAAAAATGAGTCAACAAAATTATATTGATTTACTAACCGTAGCACCAATGGCGATAAACAGCAACTCAAAGCGTCCATCTCTATCTGTTTTGATATGAGTTACCGACCCAGGATTTTTCAGCTTTAAATTGTGACAATAAGCCGGCAGTTGGGCAAACGATGCTTCTGGCGACCCCCTCAACAATTCCAAGGCATAACATTTGGCTCTCCAAGCTTGAGAATATGATATACTAATCTTGAACCGAGCATTCATGTCAGTCATAATTTCATGTCCCCGATATACCCTGCCATTCAAAAACATTAACTCAGCCAGAAAACCACCCAACACCTTTTGTTTGCCTGTCTATGGTGAGGAAAAACTTGGGTTCTTGAACATGTATGTTTATCAATAAAAGTCCTAACTTGAAACATTTTGCAATCTTTTATTCTCTTTGCAATCATACGCCACGTACAGTTTTGTCAATCATACACCTTGTTCGAAACGATCTTTGCTTGATTTGTTAACTTTTAGTTGATAGCCATCTTCCACACATTTCGTATACAAAGCTATCTTCAAGTCTTCCTTGTATCAAAACAATCATCTTTCTTGACACGAATAACTTTTGTGTAACAATCAACTGCTTTCTTTGCCAACTCTTCTTCCGGTAACTGAAGTAATTCTGGCATATTCCAGTTATACTCCCGTGGCATTTTCTTTTCTTCGGGGACTTTTTCTTCTTCTTTTTCTTCTTCAGGATTATATGAATTACAGAATGGATGTTCAACATGTTCATTCACAGTCGTAACTTCCTCCTCATTATCATCAACAACATCTTCCTCGGCAACGGGTGTTTCATCATCAAATTCGGGTATTGACCAATATGAAAATCATTACACACATGGTCTGTTTCTTCTTCTGAAACATCATCAAAATCCGTGTATTGACCAATATCAAAGTCCGGATATTGACCAAGACCAAATTTCGAATACTGACTAGTACTCACAATTTTTCTGTTGGCTCATCATCGTCTAACTGGTCAATACGAAAACCGGAATTTGGTGCTGAAAGTTGATTGGGATTTGGATTAGAGAAAGGTTGTGGGTTTTGAGAAAAACTTAGTTGATTACTACCGCTACTGACCCAACAATACTACTTCTAGGTTCAACAACATACAATGTAACATCATCTTGTGAAACACTAATGTAAGCAATGAATCGTTCAACATCTTCATTGTCGGTTAACAAATAAACTTTACCATTTCTCTGATAAGATAGCCTAAATCCACTTAGGGGCTCTAAATTCAATTTATTTGAAACACGTAGCATTAGAGTTTCATAAGTTAACTTTTGTAAAGACAATTTTAGTTGAAGATTCATGGGTAAAGGCATATATTGTAAAACACCATGAACATTATCCCATGACCCTCCAAAACACAAATCTATCCAAACATGATCAACATTAGATGATTTCATGGTTGTAAATTAATTTACTAAACAGACGAGCTGCGAAACTAAAACCTGTTGCCGGATTGGGAAGGATGTCGTTGGATATAGGAACGGATGTCGCCGGAGAGAGTGATAGATGGAGATGGAATGAGTTGCGATTTAGGGATTTAGTTTATGATTTCAGTGTTATATACCCAAAATTTCAGTGTTGTGATTTACAGATTCTCGTTGCGATTTACGGATTATCGTTGCGATTTACAGATTCTCGTTGCGATTTACGGATTATCGTTGCGATTTACAGATTCTCGTTGCGATTTACGGATACGCGTTGCGATATACGGATACGCATTGCGATTTACCCATACGCGTTGCGATTTACGGATACACGTTGCGATTTACGGATACGCGTTGCGATTTATGTGTTCGCGTTGCGATTTTCATATTCGCGTTGCGATTTTGGAAAATCGCAATGCGAATTTGTACTATCGCATTGCGATTTTCAAGAATCGCGTTGCGATTTTGGAAACTGATTTGCGATTCTGGGGATCGCGTTGCGATTTTTATTTCGCGTTGCGATTTTGTTGGTCATTTTGGCAAATCCAAAAAAAGTTGGTTAAAATCGTATATTATAACTTTTTTTTGGTCACTGAGGCGATTTTCTCTATTTTTTATTTTTTAAAATGATGTGATGAATTGAATTCATAAAATAATTTCTCAGAGTTATAGCATCGTCAGCGAATATTCTACCCACTTACTAACTTGCAAGTTTTCACACACACTCCACTCGCAACTTTCAAGCGCGTGGTCAACTCCTCCCTTTTGCTTTCACTTCCTTCACTGTTGTCGGTCCCCAACTTCTCTTCACCAACCCCTCTTAGACCTCAGCCCATCATATTTTTTTCAAAATTATTATTAATATTTTGTTTTGAATTTCATTTAAATCGCCCGTCATTAAAAAATTAAAAGCACTACTAACATTATATATTTTTTTAATTATGACATGTTATTATCCTAGGATAACATGTCAACATAAATATTAATTTTTTAATGGTATGTGAACCAAAATATAGCGTTAGTGATGATTTTGAAAAATAAATAGTTGAGTAACTAGAATAAAGCAAAAGTGATAGTTGAGTGCCTAAATATGAAATTTACCCTATTACTTCAACTATTTTCATCAGATCTTATGACGGTAAAAACATTATAAAACATAAATTATAAATACACAAAATACTTTATATAATATAAAAATATATATCGATACATGCAAATAATCAAATTTAATTTTAATCTTCGGAGGAAAAAAATTAAATTTATATATTTTCAAATGTTAGTATTTTGAAATGATTTTTTAAAAGTAAACATTTATAATTAATTTTTGAATAAATTATTATTTAAAAAATAAATTAATAAACATTTCTGTTATTTTCTGTAAATTTTATTTTTAATATTTTGATAAAAATAAATGTGGTCATATATTTATGATTGAGGCATACCCTAATAATTTATTTATAAAAGGTTACCTTAATTTGGCAGGTGCCATATTGGGCTGCTGCCTTGGATTTTTGTAAATATCATTAAACGTAATTCTGTTCTTGAAAAGTGTAAAATATTATCTTATTTTCACCATTTACATTTTAAACTTTGTGAAGACGACAATGTCGATGTGTTTGGAGAGTAAGAAAATTACTTGGAAAAGACTTTCTCGTGCTTCATTCCTTCCAACTTGGAAATGTGTTTGCAATAGAGATATCAAAACTTCTTTTCTTTCTTTTTGAGATGACTTTTCCATGATGAAAACTTAATATGGATTGGATTGACACCATTTTAATGGAAAATAGAACAACTTTCACCCACTCTCATCTGATACTCGTATTTACACGCTCCCACCCTCGTCATTCCCATCACTGTATCTCACCAACCTACCAAAATATAAATTCCCCACTCCGCTTGGCCTTTACTCGCTGCTCCCCACTTCCAGGAACCCTCTTTAATCTTCACCAGCGATGGCTTCTGTCAAAATCCCTGCTCTCAATAACCCTTTCGTTTCGCTTTCCTTTAAATCGCGCCTTCCGTCATCATTTTCCGTCACCTTCCGTGACAACTTGCGGTTTTCGCGCTCCTCCTCCCGTCCACAACGCCGTTTCTTGGTCGTAACCGCTTCCTCTGCTTCTATATCCGGAAAACCTACCGTACTCGTCGCCGAGAAACTCGGGGAAGCGGGTCTGAGTCTGCTCAAGCAGTTCGCCATCGTGGATTGTTCTTACAACCTCTCCCCCGAAGAGCTCTGCACCAAGATCTCGCTCTGTGATGCCTTAATTGTGCGCAGCGGAACCAAAGTCAGCCGCGAGGTCTTCGAATCTTCTGGCGGGAGATTGAAAGTCGTTGGGAGAGCTGGTGTTGGGATCGACAATGTGGATCTGGCCGCCGCCACCGAGCACGGTTGTTTGGTGGTTAATGCGCCTACTGCTAACACCGTTGCGGCGGCTGAGCACGGGATCGCGCTCTTGGCTGCCATGGCTAGAAACGTAGCTCAAGCTGATGCTTCCGTTAAGGCTGGTGAGAATGATCTCTCTGTTTTGTTTTGCTCTGTTTGGCAATGCTTCTAATCTTTTTTGATTGCTGAGATCTGAAGTCTATCTTTAGATTTACGAAGCTAGTAATTTTGCTAGCTTGATCTTAAGCGTATAATTAATAATAGTACATTATTTCTCGGATTTGATTGAATCAGTGAGAAAAAAAATCAACCACTAAAGTAAGTATAACATACTAATATATTAATTAATCTTAAGAACTTCACTAAACACTACGTTTTGCAGAACACATTTGATATTCCAAGTTGGAAATTCTATAATTTGTGAGCCTGGAAATCACAATGGCATATTCATGTGACATCTCCATATTTTCAAGCTTCTGATTTGAAACTCAGATTAGAGGTTAAACTGATCGGATCATTGATTTATGATTCAATTAGTTGGACTGCAGGATTTGATCAAACACATATTTAATATTTAAAGACTATTTTTTAGTATTAAAAATATTGAATCTGATTGATAATTGATAACACTACGTATTCTACTTAATGACATGATCTTTTAAAATAGATCAACAAGTTAAAGATTCTACTCAGTTACAAACAAAATTTTGGAAGGAAAGAAATACAGTATGCAAGAAAAAAAAACGCTTTTTTGGTTAAAGATTTCATTGGGTTGGTATCGAAATGGACAGTTGACCCTGGTTTACTCGGTTCGACCAGTCGATCTGAACTAGCTTTTTAAATCATCACTTTCTGTTGTTATCTAGTAGATTTCTGATATTTTGATTATGTAGGGAAATGGCAGCGGAACAAATATGTCGGTGTGTCCCTCGTTGGGAAGACAATTGCTATCTTGGGTTTCGGAAAGGTTGGATCAGAAGTAGCTCGTCGAGCCAAGGGGCTCGGTATGCATGTTATTGCTCATGATCCTTATGCCTCAGCCGATCGTGCTCGTGCTATAGGTGTGGACCTAGTGAGCTTTGAGGAAGCCGTAGCTACCGCAGACTTTATTTCTCTGCACATGCCTCTCACACCTGCTACTGATAAAATCCTCAATGATGAGACATTTGCAAAGATGAAGAAAGGCGTTCGTATCGTCAATGTTGCTCGTGGGGGAGTGATTGATGAAGAGGCTCTTGTGAGAGCATTGGATGCCGGAATTGTCGCTCAGGCTGCTCTTGATGTCTTCACCGAGGAGCCACCGAAACAGGACAGCAAGTTGGTGCAGCACGAGAGAATTACAGTGACTCCACATCTCGGTGCCAGTACAATGGAAGCTCAAGTGAGTTAGTTTAATCACCGCGTCTGTCCATATCTACTTGCTGTATGATATTATCAAATAAAGCATCGCTATGTTTTGTAGGAAGGAGTGGCTATTGAAATTGCTGAAGCTGTTGTTGGAGCCCTGAAAGGGGAACTTGCTGCGACTGCTGTCAATGCACCAATGGTTCCTGCTGAGGTATGCAATGAGTTCAATTGGTTTTTCCCATCAATTGTTTATGAGGTATGCAATTCGGGATTGATGTTTCACTTATTTGTTCACTTCCCCTGTAGGTTCTAGCAGAGTTGAAACCGTATGTCGAACTCGCTGAGAAACTCGGGAGGCTGGCTGTCCAATTGGTCGCAGGTGTAAGTGGTGTTAAAAGCTTGAAAGTGTCGTATGCTTCCTCTAGGGCCCCTGATGACCTTGACACAAGGGTGCTCCGCGCGATGATCACCAAGGGTCTAATTGAGCCTATTTCCAGTGCGTATGTGAACCTAGTCAATGCTGATTACACTGCTAAACAAAGAGGACTTCGGATTACAGAAGAACGTATCATTATAGATGGTTCATCAGAGACCCCACTAGAATCCATCCAAGTTCAGATTGCCAATGTGGAATCAAAATTTGCGAGCGCAATATCAGATTCAGGTGAGATTAAGGTGGAAGGAAAGGTGAAGGATGGAATTCCTCATTTGACAAAGGTAGGGTCGTTTGAAGTGGATGTAAGCTTGGAGGGTAGCATTATCCTTTGCAGACAGGTTGATCAGCCCGGCATGATCGGTAAGGTGGGACATATTTTGGGTGAGGAGAATGTGAACGTGAGCTTCATGAGTGTTGGGAGGACCGCACCCAGGAAGCAAGCGGTGATGGCCATAGGAGTCGATGACCAACCCAGCAAACAATCTCTGCAGAGGATTGGCGAAGTCCCTGCCATTGAAGAGTTAGTTTTCCTCAAGCTATAGGCTTGATTGTGTCATCATATATCATTTTACCTGGTTGGGTGATCATTTTTACTACCCTGTAGCTCACAGAATTTTGAACGTTGTTATCGAGTGTGCCGTCTCCAATAAGCCAGAATAAATAAGTTCGATGAAGTTGAATGATTTGGATTCTCATTAATATATATATATATATTTGATGAAGATTGTGATTAATTTTGGGTTAGGATGTTGACAATTTAGGCGAAAAATCATGTGCCCCCGAAGTTTGCTTTTAAAACCAGAAAAAGAAATCACTAATTTCCACTTTGAGTGGTATTGAAGTCGATCTGATTTAATCCCATCAAGCATAAGATTTCTTACTCGGGATTTGCGGATCACAGTAGTATTAAATTTAGGAGGTTTCTTACTTTAGTTTCCCATTGACTTCAATGCAAAGGTCTGATATAGTGTCAATAAATACTCAACGACGTATATCCATCTTTATCTGAAACTTCCAACTCTCCACCATGAACAGAAGCAAGCTCCTGCTGCAACTTTGTGCTGGGATTTTTGCTTTCGGCATCCTCTCCAGTGCTGTTGTGGGTTATGGAAATGGCAAAATCTTTGACATTACTCACAAAATCACTTCCCAGTTGCCGACTTTCGGATCGGTGAACGGGCTCGGTCAGTTCATCTGGCTCGTTGCCAGCATTAAAAATGGTTCAACAGTAAATGTTTCGGAGTTCAAGTTGGGAACCCACACTGGGACTCACGTTGATGCACCTAGCCACTTCTTTGAAAAGTATTATGAGCAGGGTTTCGATGTTACATCTCTTAGCCTGCAAACCCTTAATGGTTCTCTTTTCTCCTTAAACTTGGTGGTGATTCTTCGGCTCAGGCGATTTCATTGATGACCTTCACATGTTTGTTTGATTTATTGTGTAGGTCCTGCTCTAGTAGTTGATGTTCCAAGAAATAACAACATTACTGGTATATATTTCTCCTAATTGAGTTTCCATTCGTGTTGTTCTGTGGTAAGTAGCAGTAATAAATAATATGCTGCCTACAGCTGAAGTTATGAAGTCCTTGAAAATTCCCAGGGGAGTACATCGTGTGCTTTTCAAAACGCTCAACACTGACAGGTCACAATCTACATGCATTTCCATAAAGCGAATAGTCCTATATTTTTTTTCAAGTATGAAGAGATCAGATGTTATTAGTAATGTTGATTTTACTTGAGATTTTGGCCTAACTTCTGCTACTCTCCTCAGGATTGGCATAAATTTGTTGAAAAGTTCTCACTTTTTGCATTTCTGGACTTTTAGCCCTTAATGAATAAATACCAGAAATATGTTTGTATGATACAAACTTTCAGAATGGTTTCTTGACAGTAAAAATATGTCAAAACTTTCATTTTCAGGAGGCTGATGCATAGCAAGCAGTTTGCTTCAGACTTCACAGGGTTTAAGACAGATGGTGCACAGTGGTTGGTTGATAACACAGACATCAAACTTGTAGGTACATCATTACATTATTCCATGTTAACAAGAAGGACCTGCTTCACAGGACACGATGTTCCAAAAGTGCCCATATTCTTGAGGCAATCAATGGCAGAACTTAACCCATCTGTGTGTACTAATTGTAGGACTTGATTACCTATCGGTTTCTGCATATGATGATGCTGCCCCTACTCATCATATATTTCTAAGGAATAGGGTAAGAAACCAGAAATTGGTTGAGTGGATTTTGTAAGAAAATGTGTGAGCTGAAAGTGGTCCATTACATTGTTCAGGAAATTGTTCTTGTTGAAGGTCTAAACCTTGATGGCATAAAGCCAGGGAAGTATAATGTCCATTGCTTACCTTTGAGGATGGAGGGTGCAGATGGATGCCCAACCAGATGCATTCTCACTGCATGAAACCTTTCTCCAAGTAAGGTTGTTTTGTTTCACCATTAATTAACAACCATACTATTTGTGGCAAGTACATAATATGCTCATTATACCTTGAATTTACACTGCATGAGAAGAGGGCAGGCATGGTCTATTGAGCTTCTCAAAAGGAATGGTTTGGAGTACGAAATAAAAACCTTTTAGGTATAGTGTTGGGTGCTTGGGTGTTGCAGAATCTGTACTGCATATCTTCCTGTCCTTGGCATTCAATACAAACTCTGTTTACATCTTTGTTTCACTGTAACCTAACTTGAGTTGAAATCTATTAATTGCTTGATTGCAATACATGCATTAGAGTCTCCTGACGGACAAATTTGCTGAGCAACGAACGGCGTCGTTGAGCTTCAAATTGATATCTTAATTTTGTTTTACCTCAAATTTGTATCAAACTTTAAAATTATATATAAAAAACCCCTCAAATTAGTACATCTGAAAACTCAACAATTAATCAGATTACTAACGTAACATTGATGGTTAAAATAACGTTATTATCACCATATGATCGGCGGCTGTTGGAATATCACTTCAGCATCACTTACCAATTTAAGAATTTTGTCAGTTCAAGTTCTCTTTTTAAATTTAAATATCAATTTAAAAATCACTAACTTAAATCGGTGATTGAAAAAATCTTATTATTCTTCAAGATTTCGTGTTCAGACACTACATATATAGGAATATATGAACATTTAATGTCAAATGGTTAAGAATTTTTAAACAGATAGATACCTTGTATGTATTCTTACTCTAGACTTAAAATAATATCAATTTAAAAAATAAAATTTAGGTGATAACCCATAATTTAATGCTTTTATTCAAACAATCACTGCTGCACTATGCTTTTTTTAAATATACAAACCAGAAGGCAGAACCAAATTCTGATGATACAAGATACAAATGAAGCAGCGAATGAATTTATAACAGATGCGTATAACTTGCAAGCCGGTTTTATGTACAGATATTCGGCATCTAATACATTCTGCCCCGCTTTACTCGCTTTCATAGTCTTCATCGTCTCCGAAGCTAAAAAAAATGCATCCGCGGCCATTGCTCTGAATTCACTTTCTGAGCTTGAAACTTGAGTGTCACCAATAGCAGCTTTATTTGGCTCGCCAGTGGCATGCATCTGTTGGGAGTTTCCACTTCCTAAAGAAACTTGTTCGGTAGAATGCACCAAACTTGCTACTTGATCCGATTTGGTATTTGTTTCAGATTTGGAGGTTGCTGAATGGGCAGCTACTCCCTCTGCGGATGCTGCCTTGTTCTGCACACTCTTTGATGAATCAGATTGTTCTGCCTCGCCATCTGAGAACACATCATCTTTGTCGTTATGTCCCGAGTCTTTATTTTCATTAGCCGGGGCTGCACCTCTGTCAATTGCTGCACCACCAGTCCCTGAGCTTTCATCTGGCTTACTGGTACTAGTTTCAGTCTGAGGCATTGTTGGAACAGTGCTATTATAATCTACTAGCACGACCTCGACCTGGAAACCAGGGGATGGCAACTTCCTCTGCATATTAACAAGAAGAAACTGATAACACCTCAGAAGAATCTATTTGGTCCAGAAAGAAAGAAATGAAGATCCCAAGTCAACATTTATATTTACAGAACATCATAACACATTTTGTGTTTTACCTTGTCAAACCATTCAAGCTCACCGGTATTCAGAACTTTTCTGTTGTCAATCACTGTCGTGTTTAACCAACTGACAAATCAAAAAAGGAAGAATCTTGAAACAATTAGTTACAAATAAATAGGAGTTGAAAGATAATTTTATAGGGACGAGGCCTCTAACATACCAGTAAAAGTCTCCCTGGCGATCATGAAAATGAATTTTGAAGTCCCCAGCCAACTCAGTTAGATCAGGCTCCCCCGGCAAAGCAAAGACCATAATACCTTTCTTTGGTGCGCTAAACCAGAAATCTTCTGGCTGTGAAGAAAGCATACTTGCATGTTATTTCAATTTGGTATTAGAAATGCTCAGAACTTCAAATGGCTGATTATGATCATAGTTGTAAAAATTGGACCACACCAGCCTGGTTGAACCGAGAACTGGTTGGTCCAGCAGTAAACCATATAAGTTGAGCCGAGAAGTTATAGAATAGGCAAAACCAGGAACCACAAAAACCAGTTAAAAACTGATTAAGAAAAACTTTGGGCTTTTTCAGCATGTGTCGGTTCATTTCCATCATTGAGTTTTGTAAATTAGTTTTTAAAATAACTTTTACGATTGAACTGGTAACCAAAATTCAAACCAAATCCAATTCAATTTTTTCAATCATGATTATAATAATTACACTAAACAATCAAACAGACATACCGATCAATCCTTGGTGGGCGGATGACTCTTTGTTGAGAAGAGAATACCTGTATACAGGAAGGTACTGAAAGCTCGTTACAATTCAATCTAGGGTGATAGCTAAGATATCAATAAAACGACGGCATGACACTTCCATCCTTTAATTTACATGTTTCTCTCCCTAGGATTAGTAAAATTCAAACAAAAATACCAGTGTACTGCAGTCGTAACCAAAGATAAATAGCATCCATGGCTAGATTTGAACCATAAACACGAGGAAGCAAAACTTAACAATGAGACATGAGAATTTTCACTTGGTTGTTATTTGGAAGATTCAAATACATAATAAAATTTTCACACTGCAGCTATAAATTTAAACACATTCATGCCAGCATTATACCATAAAACACTGGCAGTAAATGATAAACAAGATTTTGAAATACTAGTGACCAGAGATTTAAATAGCATTAGCAATCGAGTTTCATGTTTATCGCAATCACAGCCTTAACTGAGGCTATCATGATCATTGCAGTCGTGATTTTTTTTCATTTTTTTTAGCTTATTGTAAAATTTAATAATTATAATTATATTAATATTAATGGTTTTAAAAGTATTTTATGATATTCTAAGATCATTCACTTTGATTTTATATTTTATCACAATATTTTATTACAATTAAAATAATTTACGATATATTAATTTATTTATATATATTAAAAATGATTCATTCATATTTTAAATAATAATTTAGATACATTATCCATATAATCAACATATATATACACATCATTACAAACAAGTTTGAGATCCCCTAAAACAGTTAGTATCATTTTAAAAAGTCCTATTTTTAATTAGTTTATAAACTTTTCTTTGTTTCTATCCTCATTTTGTCTTTTTTGCACATCATCTTATGTCTCATTTTTCCAATTTTCATTCTCTCTAATTGCAATTCCCTCTCTCCATCTACTCCTCTACCCCCTTCCACACCCTCCCCCCCCCTAACCCACATCCTTCTGTTCTAAGTTCTATCAACCCTTGTGATCTATTTCTTCCCTTTGCAAGAGATTCCTCAATGTTTTGAAGCCCCAAACCCATCGAAATAGATATATATGGTTAAGATCCACTTACACAATGTAAAACTCTTAATTTTACACAGATTTAGAACAATTGGATGAGTGGAAATAAACGGCTGAGATTAACTATTTTTTTTCCAGTGAATATCTTTTCATTTTATACTGTTAATCTCAACCATCTATTTTCAACCATCTAACGATTCTAAATCTGTACAAAACTAAAAGAATTTTACACTGTGTAAAAGGATCATATCCCATATATATATATATAAAGCTGGAATTAGCCTGAAATTAGGAAAGGCAGCATTCACAGCTGTCGCCAACACTAAAGAGCACCACTATACCTCTACTGATCTGCTATTTAAATCCCTGCTAGTGACTGCCTGCACCCTAAATGTTGAACCAAATATCTTATATTCAAACCTATAAGGAATCTAAGTGTTGAGAACATCTGTAACAATAAAACACCCAAATCCAACAAGAGGTTCAGCATAAACAACCATAAGAACAAACCATTAATCATAAAGGAAACTGTTTACAGACAAAAATGTCATACCATTATGATCAGAGATGGTGATGGAGGGCCTAATCCAATAAGGGCAGCGATGAAGCCGGAATCCTCGAAGCATGCACCTGCGTAAAAAGTGGAATCAGCACTAAATGAAGACCAAATATGCAAAATAAAAATTCTACAGCCAGATAATACCTGCGCCCAGGCTGGTTTTTGCCATTGAAGTATGTTAATGTACGTTCAAAATATTTGACATCTCTCTTCAAAACATGACAGGAAAAGATAAGCAATAAACATCTAGCCACAAACAATTCTTGAAAGAACACTTTCTATATCACTGGAAATCAGATGCTAACAATCTGACTTGGAAGAACAAGCCCCTTCCCATCCACACATCTTTTCTGGTTGTAGTAGTTAATGGACTCTTCACCAGTGGGGAAGAACTGCAGAAGAACAGCAAATAGTAGGTTATAAGAAGAAAAAAAATCATCCATTGTGACCAAGAAATGCGAAGCTACATCAAATCTGCTGGCATTTCTTCAATAAGCTCATTGAACCAAACCTTCAAGTATAGAAGAAGGCTAGAGATCATCAACCCAGTCCTTGCCATCCCAGCTTTACAATGCACAACCACAACATTCTCAATATTCTCCTTCAGCCATGAGTAAGCACTTTGACAAAAAGATATTATCAATTGAATTGGGGGGCAATTATGATCATCCAATGGGAAACTAGCCACCTGAAGAAAAAGTTTGGTATAAATAACATAAATAAGATGACTCCAATTCACACATTGCTCCTACAGTAAGTTTTAATAGGCTGTATTCGTCGTTATACATGCACTGGGTGGGAAATAAAAGGTAGTGATTTTCATCAAAATTTAGGAGGAATTGACTTGCCCCATGAATTACCCTTGCCAATGACTAGTTTTCCTCATTGGGCTTAGTACATCCACCCCTGACATGATATTATTCTTTCTTTCCGGGAATACATACTAGAATTGGATCATTTTCGGTATCTAAACAAGATTAACTCTACCTTTCACTGTAGATTTGGAGACTACCATGGTAAAGGGGAGAAGAAGATGGCCAACTATCTCA